GTTAAAGGTTTAAACTTGTCTAGCTCAAAAAATACTCAGTTCTTTCTTTTCTTATTGATTGGTCCAAACTTTCAGAGAGGCTGCAGAGAGTCATGGAAGAGAGAATAACCTCCTTTCCCTAGACTTTGTATGTGCTAAGGTAATAGGGTCAAAAATAAAATGTTTCTGAGAAATTTCCAAAGGATCATATTCTTAACAGAGGCATGACACTTGGTCCTTGAACAGTGCTTTACAAAGATTAGGAAACCTGAATCCATGAGACTGACTTTGATATTAATTTGCTAAGTGACTTCTGAAAATCTTTTTTTTTTTTTTTTTGCTATAGGGCGTGTGTGCTCGCCAGAAAGACAGACAGACAAAGGGAAATCACCCCCCCAAGGGGGGATGGCCATGCTGCAATCCCTTCTCCTCCATTCTCCTCTCGGGATCTTGGTCACGCATGCACACGCGCCTGGTGTGAGTTTAAGCCACCGGATTTGGGACTTGAGCTGCGGTCGACTTCATGGGAGTACCGAGACATAGCCATTACACTAACTGCTGTAAATCTCCTGTTTCTGAAAATGTCAGTCACTGAGGTTAGGTTCGGAAGATACTGAATGATATTTGTCCCACCTACTTACTGATAGGATGATTTTATATGATAAAACAAAATGATAATGTAGAAGACTTTGGAAATAGCATGGAAGCCAGCCACATAGGCAAGGCAGTACTGCCACACTCTGCGATGTTCAATCACCCTGAAGTCCTGGGTTCACGACTGAGGTCTCCCTGTACTTGCTGAGCCCACAGGTGCTCATGGTCCTGGCTAGCTGAGGCTGGGGGTGGGTGGCAGTGGGAAGACTCTATTGAGGGGTGCCTGTCTTTCTGTCTATGACTTTCTCATGGAAGAAATAAACTTTTTTTAAAAAAAAGGAATACCAGCTTCTCAGTTTTTCTTTTGGCAGTCTCTTAAATACTGGAAATTTTTTGGATTCTGTTCTGGGCATACTTCTCATATTCCCCTTCTCACTGCTCTCATCCACTCCCATAGTTTCAGTCATCGCGTTGTTCCTGTAGAATCAACTTTTGAGCTGCATGCTTTTGTATAGCTACCAAGTTCTGCCTGGCATGTCTCACTTTGAAGTTGCTTTTTAAGAAATAGATCTCAGCAATTAAAAGCAGTTGAAAAGCAGTACTACTCTTAACTTGTGTCTTATTTGAACTGTTTAAAGTTCACTCAGCTACCTCTTTCATGAGAAGACACATGGACACACACACACACACACACGTACACACATAAGCATGCATGTATGCACATACTCTTCACAGGGTCCCATCTTGCCACTTTCCTCCTTCCAGTCTCCCAGCCAGCCAGATGATGATGACTGCCAACATTATTGACTACTTTCTGAATTCCAGGGATAATGTTAAGTGCTTTATCTCTACTAATTCATTGAATATTCTCAACTCCTATGAAGGAGTTACTTCTGTCCTCCTCATTTTATAGGTGAGGAACTGGAGAGCCAGAATGGTTAAGTTGTCCAAACTTAGCCAGCTGGTAAGGGACAAGGTTAGAACTTAAACCTATGGGTACCAGATTCAACCCCCGTGTGTGGCAGTCAGTCAGTATCGTCTGTGCCTTCAGAACTGCATTTTGGAATCTTCCTGTATGGTTTAAATTGTGTTTTTTCCTGTGTGACCTTAGGTAAGGTCCTTCTTGGTGAAATAGGGTTAATTACATGCCCTTTACAGAGATATCCTGAGAATTAAATAAAATAATCAGCCTATGTAAAATCTTTCCAGCACATAGGCAGTCATAACAGTTGGTCGGTATGAACGCTCATTGGACAAAAGATCTTTTTGAGTTGTATTTTTTTTTTTAGTCCTTCCCCTTTGTTACTTTTTACTTGCTACTTTTTAGTTTTTTGATGTTTCTTTTAAATAGTCAGGATTTATAAGGGCCTGAGGACATCTCTGCATTTCTTAGCAAATAAAATCTCTTTGAATTTGTGACAGGCATGCGATGCCTAAAACCACAGCCCTGGTTTCCCATGCTCTATTCTGTGGGCCAGGTGGCTGAACACCGATCTCTGGCTAAAGAACAAATGAATTTTTGTTTACAAACATACCAAAGCAGAAAAAGAAAGCCAAATAATAAATTACTGTTTCATTTCTAAAAGTATACTGAGACATTTTAATAGTTAAAAAAAAAAAGAATATGTAATTGTCAGCATTTGCAGCACATGTTTCTCTTTCAGTGTTAGATGCAGGGCATTTTAGGGTGGTCCATGCAATGTCATTGATTAGCAGTCAGATGGAAACCTTCAGGTGCTTAGGTGATGATTTAATAGTAGATTGCTCATACTATGCCTTCTAATACATGCTGTTATTTTATGAAACTCATACAATCACACGATTATTTTTATCATTCCCACATGTCGACAGGCACTATAGTAGCAGATAACATTGGCGGAAATGACATAGGGGATAATTCTGAGACTTAGTGGCCTGATTTGTGTGCAGATTTAATAACTAACCAATATACAATAATACAGTGATTTTTTTCAATAGTTAATATGTATTGCTTAAATAAATCTTACCCATTTATGTTTGTTTGCCTTGTTCAAAGATGGAGCAACACACACACAAATAGCATGAAAATAGATTTATATCAGGCGAAATTGCAGACTCTTAAAGCTTCAGGAGGGAATTTAGTTGACAAAATAAATACTATGAAGTCCAAAACACTGGGTGGAGGTGGTCCTCTTGGTTTACTTAAAAAGGAAAATAAAAGATAGTTATGTCACTTACATTATCCATCAGTAAGCCAAAATCACTTACTGAGAATCACAAGTATTACATTTACTGGGATTATAGAGAAAATGTTTCCTATTGCATGGAATGTGATAAATAGCACCTTTGATAGCAGCCCTTGTACAGAAATCACAGCAGCAGATTTCTTAGTGCTGCTTCCTTCAATATAGACCAATTAATTGCCATCATAAAGATCTCCTCATTAAAAGAATTCTGCCTGAGTTTACTATGTAACATATGGATGTCTAGCTTAACCTAGAGGTCGACTTTTAGTGTCTACAGATATGAAAGATTAAATCTGCTTAGGTAATCTTGCTTACCACCCTCTTCCCACTACACATACCCGAGGATGTTGGTGGGCATTGATTAGGCATTAGTTTTAGGCTAAATGGTTAGACATATTTAGAAATAGGAAGTCCTACAGGGGAATGAGATAGCTACGATTTTCTTTGAGGAAGCATTTTGGTGTAGGCTTGTGCCTGGGGAGCTGAACCCCATGAGGCCAACCACAGTTACAAAACTGGCTTATAAAATACATTGTGTGTATGTGTGTGCACAAAATCCTGACTAGATAGGGGAGTGAAGGAGAGGGTGTGCTCTCTCTCACTCTTTCTCTCTTGCATGTGCCCCCTAGCAATTAAAAAAAAGTTTTGAATTGACTTAAAATTCTGTACCATAGAATTTCAGTATTTTTATTTATTTATTTATTTTAGAGAGAGTTTTGCTATAGAGTGTGTGTACTCCCCAGAGAGACAGAGAGGGACAGAGAGACAGAAAGCGAGAAATTACCCTCGACGGGGGATGGCCACGCCGCAATCCCTTCTCCTCCATTCTCCTCTCGGGATCTTGGGCACGTATACTCATGTGTCTGGTGTGAGTTTCAAGCTTCCGGATCTGGACTCAAACCACAGTTGAAACATGGGAGTACAGCAACGTAACCATTACACCATCTGCTAGACCTGAATTTTGGTATTTTTAAGTAAGTAGTATCAGGATCAGCTCCAAAGGACTTTTGAAAGACAGTTTCATTCTCACCTCCGCAGTTTTCCATTTATTAATATTGGGTTGTCGAAAAAAGTCATGATGCATTTTTGCATAGAAACACAAAAAATGTCATGACTTTTCCAGCAGCTCAGTAGTAAGTCTAGGTTGGGTGAAGTAAGGACATCTTTATTTAAAAAAAAGAAGGTCACAGAAGTGATTCTGATAATGAAGGAAGTTAAATTACTATCATAGACTTTGCTGCATTAATTTTAGATAAAAACTTAAATCCAATATAAGCAAATATATCAGCACCTTAGCCTTAAAACTGGGTTTTATTTATTTATTTTTTGTGGCTAATGTAATCTGTTTTGGAGACTATAAAATCCCTTTGTAAGCTATTTCTGAAATATATATGCCTTGCCAGTTGAATAAGGTGACTTAATATATGGATTTCTTATTGGTAAACCAATTAAAAGCCTTGTTGCCTTTGAATACTTAATATGTATTTCAGGATAATTTTTTTAAATCCCACCATTGTCTGATTACATTTCCATACAGACTAAAAATATTTCAGTAATTATATTCTGTCTGTAGAGCGCTTTTCTATTTTCAGTCTTCAAAATAATTACAAAGCATACTTCCTTGCATTCTTTCTTTAGAGGGTCTTTTGTTTGTAAGCTTTCAGGTGATAACATGAAAAATGATACTCAGAGATTGGTATCTCACAGACTTACTTTACTTACCTGCAGTAGCCCCAAACAAGTTGCAAACAAAATCTTTAACTATGTAATACCTTTCTTTACTATAGAAAAGCAAACCCATGTTGGGAACCAGCAGTTAGCGTAATGGCTACGTCGCTGGACTCCCACGTAGTCGACCGTGGTTCACTTCCCGGACCCGGTGGCTTAAAACTCACACCAGGCACATGTGCGTGCGTGCCCAAGATCCTGAGAGGAGAATGGAGGAGAAGGGATTGCGGCGTGACCATCCTCCCTGGGGGGTGATTTCTCACTTTCTGTCTCTATGTCTGTCTCTGTCTGTCTAGCGAGCGCATGTGCCCTATAGCGAAAATCTCTCCAAAAAATAAAAATAAAAAATAAAAAAACAAAACAAGAAAAGCAAGCCCGTGTCTACGTGTGTATGTCTGAACCTAGTGTTGGTACTTGTACAGAGAGAAAGCACGCATGGGTGTCTCACGGTTCCTTTTCCTCATTTCCCTGCAGGCATCGCGTCTATGACAGTGCCAGTGTACATCGCTGAGGTCTCACCACCCAATTTACGAGGCCGATTAGTCACCATCAACACCCTCTTCATCACAGGAGGGCAGTTCTTTGCAAGTGTGGTTGATGGAGCCTTCAGTTATCTCCAGAAGGATGGATGGAGGTTCGTAAATGGCTATTGCATGTGGATTTTCAAATACATCATATGTGAGGGAATGGGAGAAAAATTGAGAAATCATTGGTAAAGTATAAAATGCGTGTTTAGAATCATAGCTGATTCATCAGTAGGTGACATTCAACAAAACTGAAAGTGGACAAGAGGTGGATATTTATTTTAATGATAGGCAGGGAGCTTACCATTAAGAACTGATATTTACAGATTTTTTTTTTTTAGCATTAGGTGACATTTTTACACTGTGTGTATTCTTCTGCAATATTTGTTTAAAAATGAATGCAGTAATAAATATGCATGGAGTCCTAGAATTATGTCCGTGATTGACAAGCCTTTTATGAACTGCAGGTATAACTAACATTATTTTGGATTTAAGAACCTACACTAATCTGAAAGAAACCTAGACTTTAAAAGTATAGATTTAGCTATATAAGATACAAGTAAATATAAAATATACAAATTATTTGTTGATTATTGACTTATTTTGAATTAAAAAGAAATGAGAAAACTGGTTTTAAAACTACTTTAAAATGAATTTAAACCGAGTATCGTAAAAACAAATCTTACATTAATGCTTAAAGATATTATGGGCTCTTGATTTTGGTATCCTGCTTTACAGCATTCAAAATAACAGATTCATGTAATTGTTTCAGGGAAATTTTATTAAAGGGTAGAAGGGATAACTCAGCATTATCTAACTTGTTTTCTTGCCATTGTTGATAACAAATATTCAGCGTACTGCTGTGTAGTTTCTGGGCACAGAATACTGAAAGTGATAGATTCAAGCTCTTGCTTACAAGTGCTTACAGTTTGAAGTTAATCCTTAGCAGCTGAAGAAAAAGGGTCCGAAGTGATGTGGGTGTAAGGAATTGACTTCTCTATAAGCAGTGTGATAAACCATATGGCTTAGGATGAGCCACTATAGACTTAAACTGGTGAAGTTTTCTTACAAATCATATGAGAAAAGTCTGAAGCCAGTGTGGGCCTGCGGGACCATTAAAGAGCGTGCACACTCATTATAGAGAAGTGGAGACACAGAGACAGGGACAGTGAGAAATCACCCCCAAAGGCTGATGGCGACGCCACAATCCCTTCTCCTGTTGGGATTCTAGACACATAGACACACCCACTTACCCATGATTTTCAGGCTGCTGGGCAGTGATGGAGCTAGGCCTAGACTCAAGTCTTTTTTCTCTCACTCATTAGCTATGAACCTTGGACTCAAGCAACAGCTATGTTGGAGTCTAGCACGTCAACTGCCACTTATTGGCCCCTCACAGTTGTTTGCCCCCTGCCCCTTAAATTTTTTATTTTAATTTATTTTACATTCATTCACTGTACATCATCGCAGCGTACAAAATTAGATTTCTCATTCAGAATACACTGTATATTGGCTTAATCTGTAATATTACTATATATGTTATCATCAACAATTTTCCCTGTGTGGGAACCAGCAGTTAGCGTAATGGCTATGTCGCTGGACTCCCACGTAGTCGACCGCGGTTCGTGTCCTGGACCTGGTGGCTTAAAACTCACGCCCAGTGCGTGTGCATGCCTGCCCAAGATCCCGAGAGGAGAATGGAGGAGAAGGGATTGCGGCGTGACCATTCCCCCTTGGGGGTGATTTCTCGCTTTCTGTCTCTATGTCTGTCTCTGTCTGTCTGGCGAGCACACGTGCCCTATAGCAAAAACCTCTCAAAAAAAAATTTTTTTTTTCCCTTTGTTTCTTATATATTTTGCATTTTTTCCCCCTTTGATTCCCTCCTTCTCACCCTCTGCCATTTCCCTATCCCCTCCCACACTGTCTCTGGTATGTACAGTTACTTTCCATACCTCTTTTTTTTTTAATTTGACATTTGATTGATGTACAAAAAAATCTTAATTAAATACTTTCAATAGCAAGTTCAGCTGATATCTGTGAACACATGTCTGACTTTAGGCATAAAACTCAGTGAGTACGATGAACATACTATGAAGTTGCACCTCTCTGAGGCTATATAGCTTACTGTAGTCATTAAATAGGTAATTGTTTAATGTATTTTTTAATGTCAAGAAAAGCAGTTTTGGCTTTAATAAATTAAAATCACAAAATGTTAAGAGAAATTTGCTTAAGACTTAAAGCCAGGAACAAGATTAGGATTCTATTCCAATAGTAGGTACATGAACCTATCAACAGCTCAAGAGAAGACTGAAGTTTGTTTATCCCATGAGTGAGAGACAGACAGAAATATAGCTTCTCCAACAGGTTCTTGATGTTACAGTACATGCCCAGCTTCTGCCAACTGGGATTCTGGGCACATGCATGCCCAGAGTACTGAGGAAGTCTCTAGATGAGAACTGGCCACCCATGTGGGTCTGCCTTTCAGAGTGTCACATTTTACCACTGAGCCATCGTCCCACCCTAGGAAGACACAGTTGAAAGAGGTAGCTCTGTCTATAGATACTGCTAAACCACTTTCCACCTTTGAAAGAATCACTCTCTGACAAAGTAAGAAATTATTGGAAAATCGAAGAAGCAAGAAGTTTTATCTTTTATCCTCTGTAGGTGAATAGAGAGAAGATGATGATAATTGGTATCAGCATGTTTTGAATTTTTCTTGGAAACACAATGGAAGCCGATTTTTCAACCCATCTGTTATTCAAAAGCTCTAAGTCACTAGTTTACAGTTTTGTTTAAAAACATTTAACTAATACAGAAATATATTCAAATATATAGCATGGAGCATATGTAAATCACATTTTTCACTTAACTGTAGCTAGTTAGGAAAAAGATAAAGATCGTACAGTAGTGAAAACAAATGTGTGAATGTGTTATACTGTGTAGGAAGACAGGTATTGGGATAGGCAGATGGAGCTAGGCCTAGACTCAAGTCTTTTTTCTCTCACTCATTAGCTATGAACCTTGGACATGTCACTGAACACCTCTGGACTTCATTCTTCTAACATAGAGGATCAGAAACACTTATCTTGTAAGGTTATTATAGGATCTAAATTAATTATCATATGTATTTAGCCCAGTGCTTTGCACATGGCAGATGCTTAGTTAATGATGAATCACATTATTACTCATTATTCGGAGGAACGAATGAGGGCTACGGTGGCTAAGTGGTAAGAGAGGTTGAAGGATAATCTACGATCTGTGGCCTGTTTTCTCTATCAGCAAGGATGGGAGCTGCAGTGGTAGAGCAGTTAAATGCTTAAAGCTGTTGTGGGAAATATAAGAAGAAAAAGACTATATACACCAAACAAATTTCCAGGTAAGCATGGCATCCCAGCTGAAGTTGGAAACACACATTCACAGTAAAATGTACACATGTATTATTCCTCCTGCAAAACTGGAGAGCCCAGGTTTATGTAAAAACAGAGTAAGAAAATATAAAAACTAACTTGGGCTAATACTCAGTCAACCAGATTACTCTGAATGTACTGTTCGTACAAATACATACTTAATTAATTTCATATACATGCAAACTCCTTCCTCCTTTCTTTCTTCCTGACTTCTTTCTTCCCCCCTTCCTTTCCCCTTCCTTCCCTCTCTCCCTCCTTCTCTTTTTCTTTTTCATTTTGTTGTTGTTACGTTCACTGGAGAGAGGCAGAGACAGTGAGAGAGAAAGTATAAATCACCCCCCAGAGGGAATGGCCATGCCGCAATCCCTTCTCCATTCTCTTCTTGGAATTTTGGGCATGCACCACATGCGTCTGGTGTGAATTTCAAGCCTCTAGGTCTGGGACTCAAACTGAAGTTGGCCATGTGGGAGTCTAATGCCTTAAACACCATGCCACCTGCTGGCCCCTATGTTTCCTTTTTTAAAAGATATTTTCTGTTACTGTTTTCTATTATGTAGCATTTTTAGCAGTGTGTTTACCGTCCACTGACTCCTGGGCTAATGGGAGTATAGTTTTAAACAAAGATTAAAGTGCTACATTAATTTTAGACTCTGAAGTTGTCAGCAGTTATAGATTATTCATAATTATAACAATGGGTAATTCATCGCTTTTTGGCAATATGTTTCAAAAATCTTAGAGTAGTCTTGAATATTTCACATCAACTTTTTTCTCCAACTTGTAATTTTGTGTATCTTAAAGTAAGTTGTCCCCTCCCTTCTCAGAGTTAGAATATTTAGACAGGTTTTCATTGTTTTGACTTATTGCTTTTTTTTTTTAATTTACATCTTTTATTTGCTCTTTTTTTAAATTTAATTTATTTCTTTTTGTATATACATTCAATCGCATTGTTTAGCTTACAATGTGAGCATTTCAATATGTGAACATTTCTTCCCAGTCCCGTTGATCAAAATATCTTCAACCGATAACACCACACTTCCCCATCCCGTCAATGTTCTACAACCGTATCCATTCTCCAAACTCTACTTCAGATGCTGTATACCAAGTGTCCCAGATTTACTAGCTCACATTATAGTGATGAACAATTTCAGAGTGTGATAGTAAAAATCATTTGATTCTAATTGAGCTCTCGAAAGGTGGCACTGGTATTACTTCCATTTAGCAGATTTAAAAACTGAAATCCAGGGCCAACAGGTGGTATGATGGTCAAGGTACTGAACTCCCACATGACTTACTGTGGTTTGAGTCCCAGACCTGGCAACTTGCAAATCAGGCATGGTTGGGGCCAGCAGGTGGCATAGTAGTTACATCGCTGGACTCTCACATGGACAACCACAATTTAAGTCCTGGACCCGGTGGCTTGAAACTCATGCTGGTACATGTGCATGCATGCCCTGGATCTCAGGAGGAGAATGGAGGAGAAGAGATTGTGATGTAGCCTTCCCTCCTTAGGTGTGATTTCTCACTTACCCTTTCTTTCACTGTCTCTCTGGTGAGTGCATGTGCCCTAAGGCAAAAACCTCTTTAAAAAAAGAAAAAGAAAAAGAAAATTTAAGCATGGCACATGTGTATGCATGCCTAAAATCCCAAGTGGAGTGTGGACAGGTGATTGTGGTGTGGCATCCTCCCTGGGAAGTGATTTCTCA